AAAATGTTACTTTCACCTTATTCTTTCCAGCAGCAACAGGAGTATTATCGATCTGTCGAAAGCGAGAATCAATTTCGTCAATTTAATCAATATCAGCGACATATAGAAAGTCAGCAGAGGTATCAGACTTACAACATGCCGTCGTTGAAAGCGCAACAACAGGTAAGACAGCATTCTACAGTAATCCTACAGTACATCTACAGTGACCTCCAGTAAACATAATTATTTGAAGTTGAAGTTAAAAATTCAGCCTACCGATGGATTATCAAATGGTAGTTCAATGATTAGCTCATCGAGAAAGACAGGACAATCGCATGGTGCTGCTTTGCAACCGGTAATTTGTGTGGAATTTGCCGATTTTGGGCATGAAGTCAGATTATTAATTTTCAGTCTCGCCCACCGCAATTCCTTGTGCATCCTCAAGCTGTGGCTGCTAAAGCCGGAGAGACTGTGACATTTACGGCAAAGGTTAGCTTTACACCTTCGATCTGAATTCAAAATCAGATGGATTTGCTAACTTATTATGTGAATTTTCATTTTTTTGTTGTTTTTTATTGGCTATTTTCAATTGCTAAAAACCATACCAATATTTCATGTTGTGTTCATATTTTATAAAAAAAATCTAAACCGAACTTATGCACTTTTTCAATTTGTTTGCTTAGGCTTACTGCTGAACATTTCTGTCGTTTTATTTGAAGAATCACTTGAAGAATGCCGAGTCACCACTGGGTCTGCAATTAGATACTTTAGGACATAATCCCAATTTTCTCATGAAAACGGCTCTGAAAATCTTTTCCAAAGAAAAAACTTATCTCTTATTCTCTACAGTTTAATTTCTTGTTTTAATAGCATCCATGATGCAATGAAAAAAGCTTTTTCTCATAGCTGGCACTTGATAAAACAGATGCCGAGCCATTAAATAGGAACATGGATTTATTGCCATGATCCTGCTATTTTCTCTCATGTTTTGAAGATTCAACTGCACTAAGAGTTTTATTTTCGTCTCTTACAATGAACATGCATCCCATCCCCCACACACTGAACTTAAAGATTAGAAAGTAGTTTCGAAAGGTTTGTGTATCTGAACAATGATCGGTTTCCATCCAACCTCTTTATTCTACTGGAAGAGATGCAAAGGGTACTCCTCTAGAAGTCGTTTTAACACCATCGGCTGAAGAACGTTGGGCTGAAAGCCATTTTCACAAGAATTTTGAAGAATATAGGGTTTCACAGATTACTGAAAAAAAGGTTTTGTGCAATTCTCCCAACAATTTTTTGGAGCTGAGAATTAATCACTCTTTTTTGAAATTTTCTTATCTTTCCCATCGTTCAGAATGAAATCTTTAGAATATATCCCAACTTTTCATTATTGAAAAGATTTTGAGAAGGAGAGGGAA